TTCATATATTCTTAGCTAGGTTTGTATGGAATTCACCATTTTGGTATTACAATTGACTTGATTAAGTTTGTTTAGGGTGGTATATTCATTGGACCGTCAATTTTAGGCCGCAGCGAAAAATTTACCTCAATTATGTTCCCCAAAAATTCACAATTCATAGTGAAAAATATTGGAGCAATTGGATTCACTTACTATTTTTTCTTGTCCGGAGTGAAAATGGACATTTCCCTAGTGAAAAAGGCAAATAAGAAACAATTGTACATAGCATTTGCTGGAGTGCTCCTCCCTTTCATACTTATATCAATTGTTGCATTCACTTTGCGCAAGTCCATGGACAAAGAACTAGCTAGAATTTCTTCACTCGGATTCATTTCCTCCGGCTTGGCCCTACCATTGTTTCCAATCATCCACTCCATCCTCAAAGAGCTCAACCTTCTGAGCTCGGAGATCGGACGACTGGCATTGTCGATATCGGTTATAAGCGATGCAATGGGAGTTGGTGTAATGATTGTATTTGAAGCAGCTAAGCAAGGTGAGGGCAACCACCTGGCTGTGTTATGGTACTTGATTTCTTTGGTTGTTTATCTGGCCTTCATTGTGTTTGTGATAAGAAGAAGTTTGGTGAGAATTGCTGAGACCACCCCAGAGGGGCAGCCAGTGAACCAAGGGTATGTGGTGATGATTTTTTTGGGGGTTTTAGTGATGGGGGGTTTGGCTGACATAACCGGGATCGCGATCGCAAACGGTGCATTCTGGTTGGGTTTGGCGATCCCGGATGGCCCTCCGCTTGGATCAACAATTGTGGAGAGGAGTGAGATGGTTATAGTGGATGTTTTGATGCCATTTTCTTTTGCATTGGTTGGTCTTTCTGTGGATGTGAATGCCATGAGCTCTGCTGGTTGGTCAAGCTTGAGTCCCATGTTTGCCATCACTCTGACTGCCTATGTGGCTAAGTTGCTTGGAACCCTAATCACTTCTGCCTTCTTTGAGTTGCCACTCAGAGATGGTGTTACGCTCAGCTTCATGATGATCCTAAAAGGTCAAGTGGAGATAGTGGTTTTTCTCCATTGGATGGACAAAAAGGTAAACGTCATTGGCATGCATATGAAAGAAATGTTTAATGGACTTACAGAAAGTATGAGGATCATGTTACATGGCAGTTAATTTGTACTTCTTGCAGTATACGACATTGTTAATAAACACAGTAACTGCTATAGTAGACGGTAAAAAAAATGACTCTGATCTTCCATTAATTGCATAAAGTTTCTTAGATTTGTTGCCAAGACATTTTATACCTAATAAGTACGTGTGTGTAGTCTCTTGACAACTGTTAATGTTATTGAGAGACACTTCAAAAGAATCAAACTAGAGAAAACTTCTTACGTATCATTTTGGTGTTTTTAACTATAATCGAGTTTTGATGAGCTTATTTGTGAAGCGCCTACTATTTCTTCATGTACCGGCTTGTGCTTATATCTAAACTACGTTGCTTTTGAATTTAGGGTGTAGCATTTTTACTTTTCCTAGAAATCATAAATGAAACATATTTCTCCTCATCCGAACTCACTTGCTAGCTGTTTTGTGTGTGTATATGCACAGATAATGGGGATTCCAGGGTTTACAATGATGGTGCTATCCCTCACTACAATGACTGCAATATCCACACCCTTGATCAGCATCCTCTATGATCCAACGAGGCCATACATGGTCCATAAACGGAGAACCATCCAGCACACTCCTCAGGCAGACGCAGAACTTCGCATAGTCCTATGTATATATGATGAAGATAGCACAGGTTCCCTCATCAACCTTCTTGAGATTTCCAATCCAACTCTAAGCACCCGGTTCGTAATCTTTTCTCTCCGTCTCATCGATCTTGTTGGCCGGGCTTCTCCTGTGCTTATAGACCACGAAAAGCAAGAAGAGCATGATTCAAAATATGCAGTTTGTCACACAATCCACAATGTCTTGCAGCAATACCAAGAAACCAAAGGTGAGTGTGTTAGGCTCCATCCCTTCACAGCTATAGTGCCAAATAGAACAATGTACCAAGACATTTGTGACCTAGCTCTTGTGAAAAATGCCACAATCATAATTTTGCCTTTTCACAAGGAGTGTTTGGATACTGTTGGACAACAATTAACAGGAATTGTGAGGCATGGGGTTGGATCTGTCAATTCAAATGTGTTGGCCCATGCACCTTGCTCAGTTGGAGTTCTGGTTGACAAGGTTCGTGTTAGACATAACCAACTGGCAGTTAGGAACAGGGAGCTACATTTTGCCGTGCTATTTTTGGGCGGAGCGGATTCTAGGGAGGCATTGTGTTATGCAGATAGGATGGCCGGGAACTTAAACGTGTCGCTGACTGTGATTCGGTTTCTTTCGCATAATTTTGTAGGTGATGATGAGATGGAGAAGAAGTTGGACGATGGCGCTGTGACGTGGTTTTGGGTGAAGAATGAGAGGAATGAGAGGGTGAGTTATAGAGAAATGACGGTTAGGAATGGGGAAGAGACAATCTCAGCCATTCAATCAGTGAATGATGATACTGAAAATAATTATGACCTTTGGATTGTGGGAAGGAAACAAGGGATCAATCCTGTGCTTGTATCTGGGCTCTCATATTGGAGGGAAAATGATGAGTTGGGAATAATTGGGGACTATATTTCCTCTCTTGATTTTTGTTGTACTGCTTCTGTGTTAGTGGTACAGCAGCAGATTTTGAGAGGGCAAGGGTCAGATAGTACAAGTGGAAGGTTTGCATGTAGCCCTAGCCCTACTCAAAAGGTGAAGGATTTGTTGATTTCATGGTGTAGTTAACTAGAGTTTGGTATTTCTTAAACCAGTGTATGTATTGCTAGCTAGGTTAAGGCTTTGAAAAATGGCATTTGAAGAGAAATAGGGAATTGCAATGAGCTGAGGTAGAATTAATAGAGTTTAGGGGATTGAATAAAATTGGTACGACGGTGCCCACATGATGCTGCATGTTTGAATCGTATAAAATATGTAGAAAATTCTAAATATATATACATATATAGGTAATACCATTTACATACATGTGATTCATGTAAAAGCTTAAAATTATGTCATATAAACTTCCATAAAAAATAAGAGACTTGTTATTGGCACTCCAAAATTCTCATCGTGCACACCAAAATTTCTATATTTAAAAAAAGAAAGTACACTTGTAAGAAGTACAAAATGAATTTTTGAAAAGCCAATAACAATTCTAAACTTGTAAGAGCAAATTAACTCCACATATTCAAAAGAAATTTGATAAACCCTGTGGACTAACAGCAGTAAAATGAAACTTAATTTTGTTGCATCAAGATGAGTGGACTCATGAATTATATTCTTCATCGTCAGAATATATATATGATTAAACAAAGTGCCCTGTTGGATAATTAGTAGAGCCATTCAAAGAAAAAAGCAATTAACTTCTTTGGTCCTAATTACAAATCTATTAGCATATGTAGGCTTTGATTAAAAGGTTAATAGTTACCCAAATGTTCCAGTTGCCATATATAATAATACATGGAATATCTACGAAGTTTCTAAAAAATCCAAAGTTCGTTTCTTTCTCTTCCTACGTTTTCCTGCCCAAACACAGAAAAACGATAATCTTAATTAAACTCACGATCTCAAGAGGTCGAAACCATGTTGAGTAACAGTTTCAAAAAGAAAGGATTTAGACGTAAATACTGATAGGAATAACAAAAGGATTAAGACGCAAATTTGCTATCGAGAAGAGAGAACGACAACTCAGGAAACGCAATACTAGGTGACCCCACGAGTCTCAAAGGGGCATTTTTGTCTTTGTGTGAGCTGAAAAAAATAAGGGATAAGACCAGTAAAAATGGGGACAAAATTGTGAAAACACTATGTTTATGAACAATAACTCTTTGATTGGGTTTTGTATAGAATGTGAAAAATTGAAAGCGCATAAAGAGAGAGAGAGAAAACACAATTGACGGTAAAGTTAGGAAACTTACGAGAGGGATTTCAAAAGAGGTGCAAAGAGGAAGAAATCTGTGTGGCGGATTGAAGCTCGAAGCTTGGTTCGTGTGCTGTTTTTTCTCAAGTCGAGGGCGTAGTGAAAGAGAAAGTTTGCACGTGAAAAAAGTAGAGGAACAAAGAGGCTGATAAACAAATTTGATGTCGAGAAGAGAGAATGAAAGCTCAAGAAACGCAATACTAGATGACCCTACAAGTCTCAAGGGGGTATTTTCGTCAATTCAATGTGTGAGTTGAAAAAAAAATTTGACGGAGAAGAACAAGAAAAATGGGGGCAAAATCATCAAAACACTGTGTTTATGAACAGTAACTCTTCGATTGGGTTTTAGTATGTATATAATTTGCATGTATACATAGTGATGTAACATACGCTATTACATGTACAGATACTTCATATCATGTACTCATTTTATATTCTGCTTCAACTCAAAACATAAACATAATTAAGCATCTATTCTCGACTCTCTGACAAAGTTAATCATCTTCACTACAAAAGAAATTCTTATTAGCACTTCATAAAAGTCATATCTTATGTTCATTTCTAATGTTTCCATAGGGGAAGGACTACACTTTAACAACTGCGCCATAAATTTTTCAAAGTACCAATAATTGTTTGTACAATTAAAAAGAGATCCAAATGAAAATATGAACTTTATGATGGAAGTCATCTTGCATTTTGTTTATTTTGCACCTACGTTGGGGATTAATGCTGGTAACCTCTTAAGCTATAACTACCTTGTAATGTCAAAAAGAAATTTTGATTCTGAGTGTGCTAATCAAATCTTTGGGTGAATAATCACTTGGATTTGCAAAATTGGGCTCATCATGCCAATTCCAAGGTCCACTTACAAATGCAAACAAAGAAATTACTTTCTATTGGAGTCCAAGCCCAAATCTCTCACTTCCTTCCACGCCCCTCTCCTCCTCCAGGACCCTTCACTCGCTGCAAGTTCCTCCATTGTTGTGCTGTAACTCTCTCTCTCTCTCTCTCTCTCTCTCATATTCTAGCTGATACAATTGTCTCTGTTTTATCTGATATGTTTCGCTAATTGAGCGACTACCCAAATCTTAATTTCATAAAAGACGACGACTTTTAGCTGAACCACTCGCAGTGAGCTCCAGATTAATCCGACCCAGAAAGGTTTTTCTCATTCCAACCTTGCTTTCTTGATCGAAAGCCATCGCTGTCGATTTTTCAGCACCAGAATTTTCGTAAAGAAAACTCCTTTCAACTTGTTCCTGCAGCAATGGACGACGATGGGTCCAACCCATTGCGCCGAATGTCGAGTCGAACTCGAAAGGTTGCTTCGAAAATGACTGCTGCCCTCCAGAGCAGTGACAACCGCACGCAGGTAACGTATATGTATTTTATAATATTTTGGTGATTTTTTTCTGTGAATTTGCATAAGTTTATTAGTGTTGATGGGTTATGCTGGTTGGTTTTAGGCTGCCCTTGCTCGGCTTGAAGCTTTGGAAAATGATAATGCTGGTTTGGAGACGGTAGAAGTTAACGACGATGATGAAGCTTCTCTTGACGATGATGATGGTAATTTTTTTTATGCAACTTCTCTTTAACCTCTCTGTTCTTGGTGGTTTTTTTCATTTTCCTATTTGTTTTCGAAAAGAAGTTGTTATCTTGTAATCGGCAGTGGGATTTAGACTCTCTTGAATGATTTTGCATCTGAAACCGAAGTGCATTGTGATTTCAATGTATGCATTTTAAGATTATTGTGGTTGGGAAATGCTTGTTAAGTAATTAGTTATGGTGTATAAGTATGGCCATCAAATGTTATGTAAGGACGGAAGATATTCGTGATCAACCGCTCTCCCCCTCTCTCTCATCACTTGAAGTTATTTCAGTAAGTGGTCTATCAAAGGCAATTGTAGGTTAGGTAGTCTTACTGGGTTTTTGTTGTTCTGTTCCAGTCGAATTTGGTTAAGGTAATAAGTTAATAACTAAACGTTTAGGAAATTCCTTCTGCAATTATTGATGGAATGAAGGATAAGTAACAATTTGAACTGCTGCTGCAGTGTTTATAACAAAGAAGCAGTCTAAGGGTACCAAACGTAAAACCCGGCAGGCAAAAGCTCTTGAGGCCAAGAAGGCCCCAAGAACATTCCTTGAGCTTCTGCATGAGGTAACAGGGATTTTGCTACACGTATTCTTTTAGGATTTGAATTTCCTTGATGTGTCTTTCGTTACAAAATTTTTCTCATGGATACAGGCAAATCTCGACTCCTTGCCTCCTCATGTTCCTTCCTATCTGAAGGCAGCAGTGGGACCACCAAGCTCTACCTCCCGCCGCCATTTCTGCACTGTTTGTGGTTCTGCTGCCACCTACACATGTGTGAGGTGTGGGGTGCGCTTCTGCTCGGGTCGTTGCCAGAATATACACAATGATACTCGATGTTTGAAGTTTGTTGCCTGATTGGTGAGTGGTTTTAACCAACACATGCAGCTTTAGTGAACTGGATGCTGATTCATGTTGATAATCCATAACTATCGTTTCTATGTTGTTAGTAGTTACCGTAATCTTGTTTGCATTGACGTTTTGGTTTTAGTCTCCCTGAGAAGTAGGTGTACCATTGTTTACGCTAACATTTTGTTCTAAGGCAAGCGGTTCTGAAAAGAAAAAAAAGAAAGAAAAAACTATATTTATCCAGTTGTGGTTAATTGAATTTTTTCTCTTGCAATCGAAGAAATTGCATCTCCTCACTAAATACCATATGCTTCGCATATCATGTGTCTTTCCTGCTTTTTTCTGTTTATTGTTTGATAATAGATTATGGAGGATTGGTCAACTTGGTTATGATCTTCATGTTAGGAGTTGAGTTTGCTGTAAGAGTTGCAGTAGTTTATTTCTATAACGGTTTTATGTAGACTGGAAGGTGCACCCTTTGGGGAAGTTGGCACCATCTCACAACATATAAGCTAGGTTTATCTCAAGTCATGTTTCCTTTATATGTTGAGCTATCAACTCATCATCTGAAAGCCGGTGTTGAGAGCATGAATCCCGCATCGGGAAAAGAAGGGACCTTGCATGTGCTTATAAGTAATTGGGCTACTCCCCATACTATCTTTTAGTTTTATGGTGGAACCTCAACTTCTTCAGCCGGACTGAATAAGATATGTATTCTAAACTGTTCAAATCTAATATTCCTTTACTTGAATTTGGGAACAAATCATAACATGACAACGTAGCTGCTTGTTGGAGCACTGTCCAACTCTTGACTCGATACTGGAAAAGAAATCACAATGGGACTCATTGACAAATTCAACCTAATAAAACAACAACAACAAAGCCTTATCCCAGTAAGTGAGGTCGGCTGTATAAATCCTAGAACATTATTGCGCTTGGTTTTGCGCCAAATTCGACCTAATACTTAATAATCTAAGAATGCAAGAGAACAACAAATCTTTGAATTTCAATAGTGAAATCCAACTACTAGTGTGATCTTCTGCTGATAATTTAGCATCGTGGTAGATCTGCTGGAGGAGGAATTACAGACTGTAGTGGTCCGTTTCCGTTCTCGACTAGAAAAGCCATTGCCAAACCCAGGAAGAGATGTGCATCTAAGTGACAATGCATCAACCAGACACCTATTTGGATTAAGAAGTGAAAAAAACATCAAAATAGTGTACAAAAATAAGTTAGAAGAAAGCTTATGATACGAGATTAGCATCTTACCTGGATTATCAGCCTTAAATCGAATAGCTACCCATCCTCCTGGAGGCGTTCCAATGGTATTCCTCTGTGGCGGGTCAACGAGGTTGAATTTCGCTGGATCTGTTCTGGGGTTGTAGTTTCCAAATCCTGATCCAATCACGTAGAAATGGTACCCATGAAGATGCATAGGGTGGTCCTCAGTTGTCACAATACTGGTGTCCTGAAGCACTATTTGTACATTAGCATCATACTTCAATTTGTAGAGCTTAGTTCCACGACGAGGTGACCATAGTCCCCGGGGCACATTTCCGGTATAGTTGAATTGCACAGGAGGAACAGGTGGAAAGTCTGTGGTGAAGACACCAGGTACACCACTGTAGGCGGCTTGCATTAAGGAGGTGCTTCTTGGGAATACAAAGGAAACATTGTTCATGCTAGCTGCAAAGCGGGTGTTATTTGGTCCTTGACACCGAGGGCTGTTAGGAACTGTGCAATTATTCAGTCCTAAACCCACAATGAAATACAGGTTCTCGTCAATCTGCATGGGGACTTTGACCTGGGATGGGCTCTTTAGCTGAGCAGTGAATGCAGTAGAAGTTGCTGTGTCGTTGTAAGCTAGCAATCTAGGCAATAGTGGTGCTAAAGGTTTGCCATTCTTTGAACAAGCAGCATTCTTGTACTCAAGGATAGCAGTGGTGGTGGTATTGTCGAAGGGTGCATTCTGGGCAGTCTGATAGGCACGAGCAGCCACGTAGTAGCGAGCTGGGGGCTGATCAGCAGTAACCAGAACATCGGTTGTTTGGCCAGGCCCTAGCATGATAACTCTGGTTGTGAAAGGTTTTGTGTAAGCTGCGTCAGCGCTCACAACAGTCAGTTGGTGGTTGGCAACAGTAAAGAAGAGTTCTTGATTGAGTGCAGAGTTGACGACTCTCAGGAGAAGTGACTCGCCCGATTCAACTGGAATTCGAATGGTTTCTGCATTGCCATGTTTCCTTATGTCAACACATTGTACATCATTTTATTTTTGCGTATTTAAGCAAAGTGGATTTTAGCAAACCTTGTTTGGAACATCTGTAAAGATCACCAGGCTGGCCATTAATGGTGTATGCATCAGAGACATTAGGTGCTCCTCCTGTGAAAGCCGCAAGCCTTTGGACATCAAGGGGGTTTCGATCAAACCATTCCCCAAGAAGAAGGGGAACTTCTTGTTTCGGCATTGAGAAGGGGTAGGGAGAACCCAATCTAGGGTAGATGATGAGGGCTCCGTAGACAGTGGCTCTAAGCCATCTGCTGTGAGCATGCCACCACAAAGTGCCCTCTTGGTCTGTGATTGTGAACCTGTATGTATAAGTAGCTCCTGGCTGGATAGGGCACTGTGTGACGTATTCAGGACCATCAGCCCATGGATTTCTCTGCTGCTTCAGTCCATGCCTGAAAGATATAGAACAATAAGCATTGTAAAAACTTGGGGCGAACACTAGACAGACATACAGACATCAAGCAGTGTATAAACCACGGTTTAGTGCCCTGTCTTGATACGATATTGATCGTTAGAGCATTGTTCTCCTGAGTTCTCTAAAACGCGCCAAACTCTCTTTGTTTGTCAGATATAGGTTGGACCAGAGCCTCATTAGCAGCGGAAAATTCAAAAGAATCGTAAACTATGATGAAAGAATACCAGTGGATGGTGATATTGTATTTTGCTCTGTTGGTAACTTGGACGGCAACGGAATCTCCATTTCTGACTTCCAAAGTTGGTCCCGGGAACTGACCATTCACTGTGATTGTGGTGTGGGTTCTGCACAGCCTCCTCACCGGCTTTGCTTCAACCTATTTCGAAATTTCCACACACAAATCGAAGGCGTTATGAATACGAATATACAAATACGAAGATGATTGTGTATACGAATGAATGAATACGTACTATGAATTCATGGAAGTGATCTTCTGCAGCAGAGAAAGAAGCTAAGAAAGTGAGGAAGGCAAGAAGGCCAAGCAGAAGGGTAAATGTGGAAGCCTCCATTGCTTTGTGAATTAACTTGTAGTAGCAGCAGTGGTGATGGTGTGAGCTTAGACTTGTGAGGGAGGACCTATTTATATATTTCTGGATTTAGCGGGAAAGGGAAGAACAAATTATCAATATAACTTTTTTTTAATTTTATATTTGGAGGGATTGCCCATGTAAATTAGGTTTGTAGGTCAAATTGGACACTTAAGATCTTTGGGACATATTAGTCCAACCATAAAGGGAATTGGTTCACCCACTATGCCCTCTTCAACCAAGTTTGAAACAAATGGAGACTCTATGCTTTGAGCATGTCAATTCCTTGTGACTCTCAAGGGATAGAGAGTTATGCTTTACTTGATGTGAACAATCGAAAAGCTCGATGGTCGGAAAATGTTAACTATTGATCGTCAAGTGTACTTTTATGCCATACCTTAAATTTAGACCATTTCTTTAGACTAACGGAAACAAACAACATAATATGCTAGCTTGTATGTAATATGAGAAATGATCATTGTCGTTCCTGTTTCATCATCTCCATGCATGGAGAGTGAATCACACTACCACTTGTCCATCATCTATCTTGCCTTGTGGACCAAGACACTTTCAAGCATTCTAAATTTTCTCATTCACCCAATTTTTTGTATTTTTCTTGTATTGTTCAAACCTATAAATTATATAGGGAGAGTTAAAGGGAGGGGTTGAATTTTGGGTTGATTTGGTAGGGAGGAAGAAGAAGAAAGGAATAATTTTTGTTGCATTAGTTGACTAATTTTTTCAGTTATGAAATTCATGCAACAAAAATCCACCTTTGGAATTCCATCCATGGACATAACAAGTTTCTTACCCTTATCACCTCCACCATCTTCGCTCAATAATTTCAATCCTCCTGCTTAATTATTCGAACCCATATTTCTTTTTTATTTTTAAATTATTATTATTAAGGAGAGTCAGTTGAGATGGTTTGGACACATGAATCGAAGACATACAGATGCTCCAGTTAGAAGATGCAGTTGTGAGAGTGAGACAAAGGCTCATGACAAAAGGGATCGATGAAGTCCTAGGAAGACATTGAATGACACTTTTAAGAAAAGATATAGAGTACTTGGAGCTAATGGAAGACATCACAAAACCGAGCGCAACAACGTTCTATGATTTATAGACCCGACCTCACTTAATAGGATAAAGTTTGGTTGTTCTTGTTGTAAGGGAGGGAGGAGGATTCGAAATTACTGCAATAATTTACGGAATAGGGAGGTTTCGAATCCGAGATACATAAGTGGAAACCCAACACCCTATCTATTAAGATATTGGACCACATGTGATTCGAATCCATATTTCGTATCTCCATAAAATTTCCCAAAATGTATTCTATGGATGATTACCGTACAAAACAAAAGGGTTGAACAAGATACCTCGAAGTGTCACTCATTAGCTGAAAACCTTAGTTCTTCTTGAGTAAACCATTGATTAGTGTGGCTAATCCCATGTTTATTAAAACTAAGATTTGTTAGTTAACCCACAAGGATTAAAAGTAATAAGTTCCGAAAGCAAAGTAGGATCACAGTAACACCCTTGAACAGCTTCACGAAGTTTGGATATTTCTTTGCTGATTTCTCTTTCAAAGTGTTTAGTGTTTGTTTAAACATTATTCAATGCACTAATTAGCTTGATGAGTAGTTAATCTTGTGTATTTCTTAATGATTTGAAATGAAGTAGGTTCTCTCCGGAGTTTATTGTAGCAGAGAGGATCTCCGTCTTGGATGCTCCCAGCCAATTAGAAAAATTTAGAAGAGATATATTAGGTAGCCTGCCAACTGACTTTGGAGCAATCAAATCATCTATGATTTTTCGGTTCCTAATCCTAATTTTAGAAACTTAGACTATGACAAATAATACATTTACTCATGTTGCTATTCATTGTCGTTCATGAGATTTGAACTCACAGCCTCCAAAGTTTAAATCGGAATGCCGTTAGACTGAAGACATGTTTGAAAATGTTTTTATAATGGGAATTTTTA